CTGATCATCTTCTCCTTCTTTCCCATCGCCCAGCTTGCCACAGGTTTGTCTGCTGTGTCTAAAAGTAGCAGCAGCAGCAACCCAGACTGACAGCAGCTCATTGGCTCATTTGGATCACGTGTAGCCTGGTGCCGGATGCTCCGGAGGGCTTTACCGTATTAACAGGAGAAGAGGCGCAAGTGAAGTTAGACACTGTTGTCGGACAACAGTCTGTGATTTGTAAATGTTTTAAATCAGGTTGGGTCTGATTGGCCAGCAGGTGGGTCCGGATCCGGACCGTGGTCCGCTAATCCGTGACCTCTGCTTAAGAGTTTTTTTCAACAGTTCAACAGTTCTAATGCTGCAAAGCCTCTTCCCAGAGGGCAGCAGGGAGATCAGTCCATGGTGGGGGTGTGTGAGTTAATGATGATGTTACGGCTCGGGACACGCAGCGCTGGGATAAAATGTCTTTAATGGAGGGAAGAGACGTTCCATCCCAGTGCCACGTGTCCCGAGCCCGTAACATCATCATTAACTCCCACACCCCCGCCATTTGGCATAGTTTAAACCTGTATCTATTCCCTCCATCAGCAGAGATGATCAAACTGATGACGACCAGCGGGTCGGTTTTATAAACAGCTCCAGTCTTAATATAACCCGGCTCTAAAGGGACCAGTGGATGTTCTTACCCAGCGTGCCGACCAGCTCCATCAGGTCTGGGGTTCCGGATCCCTTCAGCGTCTCCAGAGATTCAATCACCTCCAGACTGTTTCCCACACATCGTCCGATGGTGCCATCCATACGGCTGAGCAAAGCTCCGGTCCGAATCCCCACATGGTTCCCAGCGTCCATCTGAAAGAAATCCTAAAGTTTCTACTGCTTCTTTTTGACAATCAAACGTGTTTTACAACATTTCAGTTAACCCCAGATTTTCTGTACTATGTGAGAAATTACCTTAAATTGTTAAATGTGTACATTTATTCAGGACCTGCTTCCTTCAATGAATTTCTTTGTCCATGTAATAGAAATACTCCATCTTCGTCTTCTATTCTTGGTGAGGACTTTAAGATGGTTTAAAGGAAAATCTCCAGAGGCTCTTATATCAGTTCTTTTCTACTGGAGATTTCCAAAAGAGTTAAACAATCCACAGGACTTTGTTTCCCAGTTTGAAGATGTTTCGCTTCCCATCCAGGAAGCTTTTCCAATTCAACATGGCAGAAACAGCATTGAGTTTGAGGCTTTATAGAGGGGACCAAAAACAAAGCCTTGTTTAGGTTTAGAAAACAAGCAAATTGAACCAGATGAACTGATCCGCCTCTTAGGAATGGGGAGTCGTTTTGGGTTCTTTGTTATCCTGCAATACCTGATACCTGTCCTGCAATACCCACCTGTCTTCTTTGTCCGAAATGTGAACATGGACAAAGAAGACAGGTGGTTTGAGAGGGGTGTGAAGGAAGCCATCTATTTTAAGTCTTCAAACTTGGAAACAAAGTCCAGTGGATTGTTTTTTTAACTCTTTTGGAATGACTACGACCTAGATGACTGAGCATCTTCACCAGCATACTGGAGACATATTTTAGTTAAAGTAACTGCTATTTATATAACTTGCTTATATTTTTATAAATTATCGATTTTAACTTAGAAGTTATTCATGTAGTTTCTAACTGTACTTAATTCAATTCAATTTATGTAGCGCCAATTCAAAACACAGGCACTTTACCATTCACCAGATCATATAGTCAAATTGATTGAAAGTTTTCTATCTAATGTTTTTAATGTAAAGTGCTCCAGCAGAAGTGTGATCTGACCAGGAGATCAGCGAGCTGTCTGGCGCCCTGCTGGTCTTGGTACAGCGCCGCTCGTCCAAACTTCACATCCAGAACCAGAGCAGACAGAGACTCTGCTCCTTTCTTTGAGATGATGGAAGCTAAAATCATCACAGCAGCTGGTTAGCATGAGCCTCCTGATGTTTAACCCCCCCCCCCCCCCCCGATCCGGGTTCTGTACCAGTGATGAGTGGGAGGCTGTCCACAGTGCTGGTAGCGTCCCTCAGCGCGTACAGAACTCGATCCGCAGGAACCAGTGTCTCCGTCTGACCCACGATGCAGCAGCCCACAGAGTCCAGTATGGTCTGAATCTGTGGTGGGGAAATGTTTGGGTTTTAGAGTCTGAGATAGGTGAAACGTTTCTGATCGGTCGGAACCATCTGGGTTCTGCTCCACCTGCTCTGCTGACTGCTGGACGCTGAATCCTGGAATCGACTCCAGTTTATCCAGAGTTCCTCCTGTATGTGCCAAGCCTCGCCCGCTGATCATCGGCACCTGACAAACACACACCTGAGTCAGACTAAACGGATAAATCCCCACCCCAACCTGTTGCCTACACCTAAATCTCAAGTGTCCTTTGCATCTTTTCCACATGGCAGAAATCAAACAGAATCGCTGAATTTAAATGATTGAATGAAATCTGTTAAAAAACGCAGAATATCACAGAATTCGCTCATTTGGGCGAGACGTACTCGTCTCTGTCCTCTGTGGACTGTATCCGCCGTTACCTGATAACAGGGGTGGGGGTTTAACTCCACAGATGCATAAAGTAGGTGAGCCATAGGCACCCAGGAAATTAAATCAAATTAAAAAAATGTTACACAGCACAATGTTCGGGGCAGAACAATAATCCAGAAGTTTTTCTGAACCTGCAGAGTGAAACGATCGAATGATCGGGTCAGAAAACGCGTGAAGATCGGGAGAAGAAGTTAGAGTTTTTAAAATAGAAATTTTGTGAGTAGTGTCTTTTAAAGCTACAGTGTGTAACTTTTAGCAACATCTAGCGGTCAGACTGCAGACCGCAGCAACATGAACATCTCCCCCCCACCGCTTCTCTCCCCCAACAGTACGGCGAGCGTTACGGGACAAAATGTCTTCCACAACGTCCGCATCACCTACCTTCTCAAGTGATGAGGTTTGTTTACATAGATAATTTTACAGATAGTATTTCATTAGTCTGTGTAGGGTATAGATTTCATGTATACTTAAGATAATAAATATACCCGTTATTTTTTCTACATCGTTGTGACGTTTTGGCGATCTCGCAATCGCTAGTTTGTTGGCTCTGCGCTGCCGTAGCGCAAAGATGTCTGCCTCCATGGCTGCGAGACCCGCTCCTATGTAATTATAAATAACGAATTCTAAGGCAACGCAAATATTAAGGTTAAGAGGCTGAGCTCGTAGATGATGATAAAATAACATAGTTATGTATAACATATGAAATTTCTGACTGTATATCCCTGTAATTATTACACACTGTAGCTTTAAAGTCGTATGTACTCTTTATCAGACGATATTGTCCCAAAACTTAGAAAATGTCTATTTCTAAAAGAATTCTGTCTTAAAATATGATCATGACGTATAACTAACTGGCCTGCTATCTTATGCAGGCCAGTTAGTTATACGTCAGCTTGGACACCTAAATTCGTCCAATCATATATCAACCGTCATCTGTCAATTAAATTTTTTCGGTCATAGCATCTTGCTTCATATGTCGTAGCTAATATACGCAACGGCTGAAATAAGAACTAAGATTCATTTCATTTTGCACATTTACCGTTAGTCTAATAAACCTTAATTCAATACTGAAATATTACCGTGTCCATCAGTTATTAGAGATATCAAACTGAAATAGCTGTTACAAACACCCAAATATTTAGAACTAAAAATAAGATTCATCGGGGTGCCCAAACTTTTTCCTATGACTGTATATGAAAGACTTAAAGCAGGTGAAGATGTGGGTTAGTGTCTCGTAAATGATTCCAGGCGTACCTTACAGCCACAAGCAGCCAGCGCCGGCGCCAACACCAAGCTCACTTTGTCTCCCACTCCTCCTGTCGAGTGTTTGTCCACCATCAGCGTTTTCCACTCGTCAGGCCACCTCATCACCTCTCCTGACCTCATCATCTCTTTTGTGAGGGTCTGAATCTCAGCAGCAACCATCCCTCGCTGCCAAATAGCCATTAGCATGGCCCCTTAGGACACAAAACACAGCGCGATCTTAGAAGATCCGGGCTTTCAGTTTTACGCAGAGCGACGAGTCGTTCCTACCGATCTGACAGTCCTGCATCTGTTTAGTCGTTACAGACTGGATGAAGAACTTGATGTCTTCATTAGTCAGCTGCTCTCCGTCCCTCTTCTTCCTGATCAGATCCGGGATGGATAACATGGCAGCCTGGAAGACAGACTGAGGGATTATACTGAGCCACAGGTATTCCAAGTTCTGCTTTCTCTTGCCTTTTCACAGTAAACAGAAGGTTAATCATTTCCAGATGTTTAAGGAAAAAAGGAGAAAAATATGCACTTAATTAAAAAGAATAATGAAACCCATTCAGACAACAGACTAAAACACTTCACCTTAGAATAAGTTCTCACCCTCTGAGGATCGGGAAAAGTCTTATTTCTGCCTCAGATCAGACCTTTTTGTTCTGCTACTGGATCAGATTCATCCCAGAATATTCCGGTTTCCTCTGTCTTAAAGTGGCTGAACATCCTTCTCCCCCTCCTTTTCTGTATACACCCTGTATCTTCTGGGTCAAAATGACCCGTCTTCACTAAACCCCAACTTCACTAAACCCCAAACCCAATAAAGGCAACTTAATTGAATTTCAAACAGCAAATTTCATCTTGTATATTGTCATTCACCACAAAAGGTGTGAATACTTGAATATTCCCTCTTCACTTGAATTTCTATAGCATCAAAAGAAGAAAAAGAAATGGCAAAAAAGGAGTTTTGAATGCTTTTTATTTATCCCAATGACCGTTTCTTTTTTCCAATGAACAATTTAGGACAATGTACAATACAAAAAAAATTAAAAATGACATAACCCATTCACCCAATTAGCACATGTAGGGCATTATGCATGTGCAAAGCCTTTGCAGATATATTTCTTACACCTGCAGCACACGGTATGTGTTTTACAGTCCATCTTTTGAGGGTGGAACTGACATCTTTTCCTCTTACTTGCCCTAGCTTGGGAAGTGGCTGTGGTAGATGGCTCCTCAGGTGGATCGGGAGCTCCTGCACTCTGAATAGCTTTAACAACTGCTGCTGAGGCTTTTGTGTGTGGGACATGCTTCCTACTTTCAATAAGTGGAGCTACAAGGGTCATTCCTCCGGGAACACCCTCCTCTTGTTCTGCTTACGAGACATCCAGGTCAGATTTAGCTCACTCCAAATCACAAAGGCATTATAGGCAGAAACATCAAAGATGACCAGGTGCCAGTGGGCAGTCATTCTTCTGCAGCTGTATGTTCCAATCACCTTATCTAGGTTTTCTACACCTCCTTTGTTACGGTTGTAGTCTAGGATAATTGGCTTCTGTGGAGTTAGGAAGCTGAGACAGAGGCATTTCTTGCAAGAAATAAGGTTCAAATTTATTTAACATCGTCAGACGGAGAGACAGGGCTCTGACTGAGGCATCCTCAGCACAGATATTTATACCTTACAATTTCCCAACACACACACACTCCCCCCCAGGGGAACCAACCCACCCCCTGCATAAAGAACTTTCTCACACTTGAACACTGAAGCAAAACAACTTGGCTTCATTAGGGCCATTCCCTGTTAATTTGATATATCTTTCACTGGCAAGATTGATCTCCTCAAAACAACAGTCCCCTCCCCTTCACGCTACGAAGGAAGATGTGTTCTTATCTCTCATGACCTTCGTTTGGAGCCTTTGAGGCTAAGAACAGATATATCTCAACATTTTTTAATCCACACTTCCTGTCCTCACAACCACTAATGTCACCGTCTGTGTGCAGTGTCCTCAGCAGAACTACATTCTTGTTTTTCTTTGGGAGGTAGGAAGCTGGAGTGGTGGTGGGCATGAAGGCAGACCTTGAGGAGAAGACCTCTCTCTCATTTGAGGCAAGCAGTGCAGGTGGGAGCTCAGGCTTGTTCTTTCGAACTCTACCAACCATGCTGATCTTCCTCTTCAGGAGCTGCTGTCCGATTTCATAAAAGGTGAAGAAATTGTCACATGTCACATTGTGACCCCTCAGTCCCTCTGTCACATCAAGCTCAACTCGCATCCCCAGGTTCTTCTCTGGGCATCAACTGGTCGGCTTTCCAGTATAGACTTGAATTTTCCAAACATAGCTTGAGTTGGCATCGAAAAGCCACCCATGACTTGAGCCCATGTTTTGCTGGGCATATGCTGCCGGAAAAGACAACGACTTTTGGACAAAATACATTAGCATCAGCGATTAATATCAGTGTCACAGAAAACAGTCAAAGAAATCAATAGTGGCCTCTAAATGGATCCAGTTGCTCCTCCACTGTTACATCAGGCGCTGGGTTCTAGAGGTAGGACACCCGCTCCACCCACTTGTCCCATACCTCTCTTATGGCTGCAAGTTTGTCTGTCACACGTCTTTCTGGTCTGACTCGAGGTCATCAAACCATAGCAGGCTTGAGTAGGTTTGAAGAGTTTGAATGGCATTGTGCCTCTGAAAATCTGCTTTTCACTCTCTCCATCCCATAGACTAGCTGCAGCCTCACCTGGGGTATACATCTGCTAAGTTTATTTTAATTCAGTTTGTTTCTATAGCGCCAATTGACAACTGTCATCTCACGGCACTTTACAGTTCACCAGATCATCCACACTGATTAATTCAAAGTTTTCTGTCTAAGGGGAACCAGTTGATTGCATCGACTTATTGACTCTAATGCAATCCCTCACACTAAGAATGCGTGTAGCGACAGTGGAGAGAAAAAACTCCTTTTAACAGGAAGGAACCTCCAGCAGAGCCAGGCTCATTGTGAGCGGCCATCTGCAGAAGCCGACTGGGGACTGAAGATTAGCAGCCCTAAGTAGGCCTGCAGGTCAGTCTCATCCATCTTTTTCCAGCTGTCTCCAGATTTGCGAAAACCCTCCAGATTTATCATCTCCAGGATTGGTTTTTTATTGCTGATAAACGGGTAGAATGTAGAAACAATGTCATTGGCATGACAGACGGCATACCTTGGAGGTCCTGGTGTCATCTTAATGTTTTGTTCTGCATGCCTGCCATGTTGGTCATATGCTGCATAGGACTATGGTATTTAGCCATTTTTGGAAAGAAAGTTTCTTTTTCAGCTTCAGGGGTATCTTCTTCTGAAGATGATTTATCATCTCCCCATCTTTTTCTTTGGATCAATCCTCGACCTCCGCTTCTAAATCAAAGTTGTCTTGCGGGACGTCTGAGAAAATTCGCTCTAAAGCCTCTTCAACGTTGTAACGCACACTCATGGCTTCAACACAGTTAGAACTTGGGGTCCTGCCTGCGGCATCCATATAACCTCTGGAAATTAACAGGTGATCTTCTGAATTTTGCGAGAACTTCACCTGATTTGCCTGGTTTACTTTTGCTACTGATTGATCTGAGACACAACTAAAACATTGCAACATCCTGTGGTTTGAAAATAACTCTGTGACCTTGATTTCAATTCGATTTGCCTCTCGGGTCATTATAACCGGAAGGCTATTTGTTGAGGCCAATCTAAGAAAAGTCATAACATTTCAAGTTAATAAAATATCATTTAGCAGATTTTTTTTAAGGGTTTAACACAGTGGCGGGTAATTTTGACCCAAGGACAACAGGAAAGTTAAAACAATGAGGTTGGCCCCGCTGTAAAGTCTCCTCCTTACTTCCTCACCTTCTTACTCAGCTTTTTCACCTCTTCCTCTCCATCCAGCAGACCGGTGAGGTAGAAGTTTATTTTTCTGTTTCTTGATGTAATGTGGAGGTTTTTCCAGCTCTTATTTTGAACCGTTTAAAGGTTGTTTTTGAAAATCTCCTTGTTGAAGCTAAAAGAATTTTCTCTTCTGCTCATCAAACTAATAAATTGGAGGAAAATTTGTTCTGTAACAAACCAACAGTCTGTTAAGGAAATTGTCAAATTTATACAAATATATTCAGTCAGAGGTGTCCAAACTTTTTCCCTTGAGGGCCAAAACTGTCAAATTGAAATTAGTCACTAGCCATAAAAATATTCTTTTATATCACTTTTTACCTGCTAAATAACAAACCCAAAATTTTAAGTCTGATTTCGGGAAGCTTATTGCAGTTTTAAAGCCAAAAAAAACAAACAGGATCACATGTTTAACCTGTATTAACAGAATAAACGGAGCATATATTTTTTTCCACTAAATCTTTTTAGGATTTGGTCCATCCTGCCTTTAAAAGATCTTGCTTAATTTTGCTTAGTTTAGCAGATGGGTTCTTTTTTTTTCAGCATATTTTTGAACAATCTGGCTTTAGTGAAAACTTCCCCACGATTTGAAAAAAAAAAAGTCCATAGCTGCGTTTACATGCACACAATTTCATGATCAGATTCAAGTCATTAAACCAAATCTCAGCACAAAATCAACTAATCCGAACGTGATGCGTTTATATGCTGCACACTTTATTCACTTTGACCTGCATGGACTGAAGTTTTCCTGAACGGAGCGAAACATCTATGTTTACCATTTGGAAGATCTATCAACATAAACCTCACCTCTCTTTGAGATTAGTTTGTTTCCCATTAAACCAAATCTGATTATTCTAATATTTGTGCATTTGTATGACACATTTTTTCTGACTGGATAATCTGGTTGAACTGGAAAGTTCCTTGAGATGACGTGTTGTGAATTTGCGTTATAGAAATAAACTGAATTGAATTGAATTTTTATTCTGATCACCTACGTCCAGCTAAACATTCATCGTTTATCAGGCGGGCTGCACTAAATCAGTCATTTTTAAATAATTGCTTAATGGCTGTTTTTTTTTTTTTTTTTAAACAGGTAACTTAATTAAAATAGATCTTATGAGTAAAAGATTTTTTTGTCTTGTTTTAAAAAAAAAAAAAGATTTTAGAGAGTTTTCCAGCTTTAAATCCTCCTGAAGATCCAGAGACATATTTTGAAGGAGACATTTTGGTCAATTTATGACTTGAGGCTGCTCCATCTATTGCTAAAGAAATAAAATAACTACTAAAGGTGTAGCTTCAGTTATAGTTTTTTCTGAAATCGGTTTTTAAGATGATCGAGCAGTTTGCTGTTTAAACTGAGATCCAGATGATCCTTGCAGAACTTCAATAATGATAACCTGAACATAAAGTGAGACACAGAAAACTGACAGAACTGCAAAGCAGATAAAAATGAATCAACCTGCAGCAGCTGGACCAGAAATGTCTATTAAATTGCTTCATTGGGTTTCCTTCCATTGAAG